GGGGGATAGACAGACAGACAGACAGAGAGAGAGAGAGAGAGAGAGAGAGAGAGATGCAAAGCCGAGATGCATGAATAGCCGTTACTATTTCTTGTACGGAGTAGTAGTAGTAGTAGTGGTAGTAGTAGTAGTAGCAGTATTGCCATTAGTCAGCATCCGTAGAAGAGTCGGCTAGTGCTCAGTGCTCATCACTATTGCTCTACTACTACTACTACTACTACTACCTACTAGTTGAGAGGCAACAAGATCATGATTCATGATTGGCTGCTTTACACCACACACCTTGCAAGGAAGACACACGATAGATAGCCTGTTGCAGCTTGACCCTTTATGAGACCGATCAGTCGCAGGGCTGAAGACTATGCCACAATGGCTGAAAAATCCAAAGAGAGTGTGGGAGAGACACGGGGAGGGATTTAACAGACCATTGTTTCAACAACTTTTTCCTGACCGTTGGGCTGAGCCCAAAGCCTAGACTTGTATACCGCATCAGTCTAGTACGGGTATGAGTAACTGCTGAATTGGTCAATCACTTACTACTACTACGATTACTACTTTTACAACCCTTACTATTACTGTCACTACTATTACTACTATTACTGGCTATCACTAACTACTACAATACTACTACTTACTGTACGAGTAACACGTTACGGATGTACGGAGTAGTATGGAACGCTTCACATCTACTGCCGTTACCCACGTTATCGATGTGTAGAGAATACCCCCCCCCCCACATGGATGGTTCTAACGCTGCCACATGTTAAATCCTGAAACCTGCCTGCACTGACTTTGCATCTGTCACAGCATTCGTGTCCCAGCTATCGGGTTATTACGAATCGCGGTGTGGGAAGGAAAGAGGATGAGGCTTCTCTGATGCTCCCTCGTCATTCTTCTTCTTCTTCTTCGACTTCTCCTTCCTCTCGTTGAGGATTCTTGCTGGCAGCGTTGTTTGTTTGGTAGATGTTACGTAGCAGTTGACATCCGATATCCTGAACTACCAGCTGGTTGTGTCTCAAGGTGTAGGAGTATGCACGGTCATAGAGTAAGACACAAAGATCTCAAAGTAAGAAGCAGAAAAGTACGGCGTACCGACGAATCCCACTCAATCGCCCTATCTCTGCCATTCATGCCGCAACTAGTGAAACGCATTGTCATGCTGTTCAGAACCACTTCGGCCGTCTGCCGGCTCGGCCAAGAATAAGCTAGTCTATCTACTCCTAGCAGACATACAACCATGCTTTCGTGAGGCGGTATTATCTATAGGGTAATCATAAAAAAAAGGAAAAAGATGCGGAAAAAAAATACCACCAAGCTTTTCTCCATATTTGGATACCGTCTCCGAGGAAAAGTGCTACATCTTCCTGCTTCTTCTTCTCCTCCTCCTACCCTTCCACTCTTTTTTTTTTATAAGCGCACTCCAAGTCTCCAAGTTGTCATCAGGAAGAGAAAATAGAGCGAGATTGGGACTCTAGAGGTGCGGGCGGTCAAGACCTTGGGGCTAAGATCGTGGGGCCAAGATTTCAACCAAGGCACGGTATGCGGCTATGCTATTATCAAAAGATCAGCATCAAACTGCTGGCTGTAAAGTTTATTCTAGTCAGCTGCATGCATTCTTTCTAGATCATTCTCCTTTCCTTTCTCTCTCGCTCTCTCTTTTCTTTCTTTTTGACGTGCATGGATCGTGGTCCCTGCCACATATGATGCTGGGGGAAAGAACACATCCGTAATGTCTTGTATATATACACTGCTATTTTACTACTACTACTAACTACTACTATTCACTACCAGACGAATAAAGAGGATAGAGGATAGGATGGTATCCGCACGGGTACCTACCAGTGAATGATCTGAGTCGTAAAGGCTTCGGCTCACGGATGTCCATCATCGATCTGGATGCTGTTGAAGCTGCAGCAGCAGACTGCACGGTCGTGGATCTAGGAAGTTTGTGTGCTGTCCACGAGGGGGCAGCTCGAACTTCTTCTTCTCCCTTCCTCTTCCGTCCGTCTTTCTGCTTTCCTCGTCTTTGCGTGTTCCCGTATGAGTCTAGGATGGAGGATGAGAAGAGGGCCGATGTGGTGGTGTTGACTGCTCCCCTCTCTCTCTCAGGGGGATTCTTGCCGTGTTTCTCTCATCAGTGTAGGATGTGACACGGAGAGCTGTATGAGGGGTGACTGAGTGGACTGGTAGAAGACGTATCTGCTCCTGGCAGGATGACGACGTCCGGTGAGCCCTGCTCTCTCTTCGTCTCTCTTCCTTGTCCCCCTCAGGCTGATACTGCCCAGTATCACCCGCTTGCTCTCTTTCTCAGGAGAACCCACCCCCCTCTTTTATATTGTCTTGCAACATCTTTCTAGGTATGATTCCGCGCAAGGTGGACATGGCGACGACTTGTTTCTTCAACCCCCCTGGAAAACATGCCCCTTCCCGGCCAGTGTTTCTCTCACCGACAACAAACTGCAGGGTCCCGTCGCTGCAGAAGAAGGGGGTAGCAAACAAGCCCATGGCCGTATTGTTTGTAGCAAACAGGGACCTCGTGACGTGGATCTTCTTCACCGTGAGGCGATGTGGAACTCCTCTCCCGTCTAGACGAGATAAGAATCTCCACCCAGTATACTCCCTTCCTCTTCTTCCGTTGCCATCCAGCGCGCTCTCCCTTCCTTCTTCCGCCCATCTGCACATGTACACTTCAGCCATCCTGAATTCTGGACACACAGATATCCAACACGGTCCACTGAGCTCGAGTCTTTTATAGCGTGAAGACTCATATGTTACCATCCTCTGTCGTTGGTCTTCATCCCACCAGCGGGCCCAAGGCAGTTATCGATATCGATGCTTCAGCCAAGATGATGATGCCTTGCTGGCTTCCACATCTGCCGATTTTACCTCAAAATCTGAGAAACTGCCCATACTCATTACCCCACGTTGGCAATGTTTGACGGCCCCCCAACCCCCCACCCCTCGACCATTCCTCAAAGCCGCAACCCTGGCACCCTGGGCTGCCTCCTCGGGTGTGAGATGCCCTTACATGACAATTTCCGCCCACGGAGAAGAACGATGTACTGGCTCTGCCGCGTGCAGACTGCTGTACACAACCAACAACACCAGGAGTGGAAGACACCAGGGGTAGAAGAGCAGAGAAAGAGAGGGAGGCCTTGACGTCCCCTCCCCCCCGCCAGCCTTTGCCCTTTCCCGCAGGACTTGGAGGGACTGTCATCTATTAGTCAGCAGGCCCATCATCCTCCTAGTCAATATGATTTTAGAAGTCGCCTTTGCTTCCCGTGAGAGGTACAGCATTCTTGAGGTGAGCCCTCATTGTATGAGTCCTTCCGAGGAAGTCATTTTACTCAACTCTCTACAGTCCGTCCATGCCTTTGAAGTCTAGCTCTGCACCAGCAAGGTACTCGACAACAACTTCGACCCCTTACATTCCGTGATGATCAGGCCGCGGGTCTATATGTAACGTCGAGCATGATTCTCTCCCCTCCATCGCCTGGTCGAGCGAAGGCCATTGGTTGCATAGTCGAGCCCCGCTTACCTAAGCTATGTGATAGTACACTACGACACTACTAGTAAGCGTCCTTTATCGAGTAGGGGGATGTTCTTAGACATCGAGATTAATCCGCTCTTATTGCCTAACAACGTGGCATTGTCTCTAGCGTTCGTTACTAGTAATAGATGTTAATAGGGAGCTATTCTTAGTTACTATGGGCTCTAGTGTTTCTAGTAGTACTATCGCAAGAGGTAAGGGTAGTTCTTAAGATTTTTCGCGGGTTCCTATATATTTCTAGCGTCATCATATTCTCTCTGTCTGACGAAAGGAACTCTTCAAAGCCAATGTATTGCCAAAGAGGAGACTTGGGAGCCACGGGCCCAGTACGCAGCATCGTCAACTTCCTGGTGGTCAAGGATCTCGTCGCTGCCCTTGCGAGCCAGGATTTCCGTGGCACGGATCCGGTCCAGAACAGCATCGGAAGACTACCAACAAGTCAGCAACGAAGCAGCAGAGACATTGAGGGAGAAGAGCCATACATCGGAATCTCCAGTGACAGCGGCTTCCGACCGACGCTGTCCTGACGACACGGTCATATCCAAACAACCGCTCACAAGGACGGTTGGAAAGGCGGCAGGCGTAACATGTGGCAGACGTCGCTCCAGCACCTGTCAAGCCGGGGAGATTGCTACCCGCAGCTGCACAAGACCAGGATACTGCTCCACGCCCCCCCTCCCCCCCACGAAGCTCCAGCTCCTTCTATCTTCAGGCGATACGACCCTCGTAATTGGCGGCATTGGCGTCGCCTGCTCTCAATCCAGGAAAGGGAGAAATTGAAGGTGATGAACATCGCTGAGCTGGGAGCCCGCAGCTAACTCGAACGGCCGTGCGGATGTTTCTGAACCGAGTACATGTAGAGGCAGGGCAGCCATGGCAGCCAGGCCAGGCAGGGCAAGCAGGAACTTGCCGTCACAGGTAGAGGTTGGTCGATGGCATGCAGAGAGGCAAACATGTCGGTTCGGATCATGCAGCTGCAAAAGATGATTTCCACGGACGAAGGCCATATATAGATCCACATGGCGTTTGGTTTTTTTCCATGCATGATACTTACTCCATCAGCTGTACGTTGTATCGGTCATCCGGAGCACGGACGGTCAAATCAGCTGGGGTGGAGAGTACGGACGTGACTGCGTCAGTGGGACAGAGAGCATCAATGGTAGTAGTAGTCGGATAGTCTTGTCTCCGATCGGCCGTCTACATATCGTTTCGCCCATCCCAGCAATAGGGAGGCTTTGCATCCGAGAACAGAGCTTGGCTAGGCCCTCTGTTTTCACCCCATGAGCATGGTCGTATGCAACATATTGATGGCATTACTAAATCATCTTTTTATCAATCTTGGCAGCCTGTATCACAGTATAATCTCGGTTTCGCCATTTCAGCTCCCAATTATGTATATGCGTGTGATTATATATATATATATATACATGGTGATAGACGCATGCAACTACTATCGAGACCGCACCTTGAAAGGGTGGGCCTCTGTGTTATACACGTACTCGTTGGGCCCCGTGGCGCTGACCTGGAGGGGCGACTCGGGAGCAAAGATGAGGTAGAGGTACTTGAGCGTCTCGGCAGCCCAGAAGCTCTCCTGCAGATCGTACTGGCTGCTGCCCGACTGAACGGTCACGTCGGCGAGGCCCGCGTAGCCGACTCCGGACCGACACAGGGTCTGGATCCTCTGAAATGCGTCCCACGCGAAATCCTGGTACTTTGAGTCACCCGTGACGCGGTAGGCGTAGTACAGGCTCTCCACGGTCTCCGGGCGGAGGATGTAGTAAGACGAGGTGACCCAGAAGCCGGCTTTATCGTAGAACCCTTGCCAGTCGCCGGGCGGCGCGCCGCCTGTGCTGTCGTCGCCGGCTATGGTCCACTGGAATCCCTCGGGACCGATGCCGCTGGCCGTGGAGGTGTAGGCGGAGTAGTAGGAGTTGGCGAGCTCGATGCCAAAGTCGATGTACTTCTGCTCCTTGAGGAGTATACCGCCTAGGATGAAGTTGCCGCCTGCGAAGCTTGCCACTAGGAAGTAGGGGGGTGGGGGGGAAGGCTCGTTGGTTAATCAGGGGGAGGAGAGGTATGAATGCGGAAGAAATCGACTTACAGTGACCGGATTGAGGGCGAAGGGTGGAGCCGTTGAAAGCGGCAAGAAAGGTGAGATCTTTCCTAGAAGACGGGTGTGATGCAAGATGCTCCATGGTGGAGTCGGCAGCGGCAACCCACCTGTCCCTGTACCTGCCAAAGGTGTCCGGGTTATAGAGGTACATCTTTATGAGGTACTCGTAGAAGCTGTCGGTGCCACCGGACCACCCGCCCGAGCTGTCGAGGAACTCTCCCGTCTCGACGCTCACGGAGCTTCCCACCAGACCAGGGAACGCCTCGGGCTTGCCCTTGGGGTTGAGGAGGTGGTCCTCGGCCCTCTGGGCTAGTGTGGCGTATTTTGGGTTTCCCGTGAGGTCGCTGAGGCGCGTCCACTCAAGCACCAAGGTGCCCATGCCGGCGATCGAGTTGGTGCCGTCACCGGACCTCTGGGGGAACGGGTTGAGAATGATCTCGCCGGTGTGGACGCCACTGGGGGTGTCAAAGGCCACGCTCAGACTTTCGGCGAGGGACTTGGCTTGCTCTAGGAGGGCGTCGACTCTGGCGGAGTCGGAGGGGGCCATGCTACTCATAGGGCCCTTGAGGAGGTCGTATCCTGTCGCATGTGCGTGTAAGCTCGAGTTTCAAGGCAAGCATAGAAGGCGCGCATGTGGCTTGCCGGATATGAGACCCCCCAGGTAGCGAATGTTGCTCTCAAAGACAGAGATGGTCTCGTTAACCTTGACGGTCGTGGTGAAGTCTATCTGGGGGGCGAAGTCTAGTATCTGGTCCACAATATCTGATTCGCCCATGATGATGGCCGTGGTGAGCGAGTCGATGGCCGTGACGCCCCATCCATTCCTAGCACGTGTCAGACATTAGATGACAACGTCTCTCTCTCTCGCTCTCGCTCTCATCTTCGCTGCCATCATCGACTGGGAGGGGGGAGCGCGACATGTGATGAATGGACTGCGCAAGCGTCGCCACTTACCGGTCATTCTCGTATGAACGGGCGATAGGCTTCAGAGTATCGTGAGGAAAGGCGTTTTCGTGGTAGCCTTTCCAGGACAGCTCGAAGGCCTTCTTGACGGCTTGGGCCTTTTCGGATTGCGAAGATATCGCGACAGCGTAGCTGAGTGCCGGGGCAGTGAATCCCAAGAGGGTGGCGGGACCCATAATCATGTCGGTGGTTTCGGCCTTTTCAAACTTGCCGTTGTTCGGGGAAGCTCCAGTCGTGATGTGATGAGGTCCAGCAAAGCCAACCACGAGGGAGAGGGAGGAAAGAAAGTACTCCCCAGGATGGATGAGGGAACAGGCGGTTTTATACGAGGTAGAAGGGCAAGGTGTGAATCAAAACATCGGGTGTTCCAACTCCTCCCCCTCCTCCCCCCCCTTCCCACCGCGTTGTGAGACATCTTTGTTTGGACGTTCAACGTGATGAACTAAAGCGGTTCGGGCTGAAAGAGTGGACAGAATTGAGTAGAGGTGTGCCGTCATTCAGGAACCAGAGACAGTCGGATCTCGTATAGGGGGAGAGGGAGAGGGAGGACAAACAAGATCGGAAGTTAAAAAGGGGGTTGGTGTCTTGGCTGGCCTTTATGCATGTGGTGAGGATGACAAGATGGATGGGCTTGTGAGATGAGGTCTACTACTAGCCCTTATACAGGTACTCGTATGTAGTACTACTATCGGTTGTGTTGGCATGTACCATCCATCCGCCGACACACATCCACACATACACACGCATACACACACAGGGAAAGGTACAGGCCCACACTTCAGAAGGGAGGGGGAGGATATGATATATCAAAAGAGGAGGATTGGATTGCGGAACTAGCTATCGAGATCATCACCACTATTGCTTCATCTTTCACATGCCCTCACTGTGTGCGTTGTGAGGCTATCACATCCTTTTCATCGATATGTACCGTGTCCTTTTGTCATATGATGATTATGACGTTAGAAGTGTCGCACCTTCCTTTCATTATAACGACAGAGGCATCGTACCTTCCATTTTTGCTATGCTTAGCAGCGTTGATGGTGCAGATGAGACTGGGTGTCTGGATCATAGTATTTTGCCCATGGGCCGGGGGTTCTGGCTGGTAAAAGTCCCTGAGAAGGAGGCACATGTGTCTGTACATAACTAGCTTCCTGGTTTCCTTTGCCAGCATAATAGTAGATATCAACACATCTAATAGAAGGGTCTATTCTTGTCATTTATCTATCTATTTATTATGTGGCTACCCTACGGTATGGTTACCTTATTGGAGGGCTATTGCTCTAGAGCCATAACCCCACAATCCATTCGTGTGTCCTTATCTTATCGCAACAACTGGCGGCGAGGATGAAAAAAAAAAAGTTTCACATCAGAGGCTTCATCCATTGACCACTACCACCATCACCACCAACATAAAAACCCATTTCATACCCACCTTGCTTGAAACGTCAACGTCAACTTGTAGCAGAAGAAGAAGAGGAGAAAAAAAGCAGCGCAAGAAAAGGAGACTCACACAGTCTCCCAGTCATCCACAATGGCAGCTCAGGTGGGACCGTTGCAGCAGGTGAAGCTGGCGTCAGGCCCTTCACCCATGACGGCGGAGCAGCGGTACTGGGGCACGTTCAAGAACCAGCTGCTGATGCCGTCGCCGACAAACTACCCGGTGACGCACATCTCGTACAATAGCGACAGCTTTGCGGTGACGACCGGGACGCGGGTGCAGATCTACTCGAACCGGACGCGAAAGCTGCTCAAGACCATCACGCGGTTCGGCGACGTGGCGCACAGCGGCGACATCCGGCGGGACGGGCGGATCCTGGTGGCGGGCGACGACACAGGGCGGATACAGGTGTTCGATGTCGGGTCGCGCGCCATCCTGAAGACGTGGGCGACGCACAAGCAGCCGGTGTGGACGACCAAGTTCTCGCCGACGGAGCCGACGACGCTGCTGAGCGCCAGCGACGACCGGACCGTCCGTCTCTGGGACCTGCCCAGCGGGGAGCCGACGACGACGCTGGTGGGCCACCAGGACTACGTGCGCTGCGCCGGCTTCATGCCGGGCACCATGTCCAGCATGGTAATCTCGGGCAGCTATGACTCGACCGTCAAGCTGTGGGACCCGCGCGCGGGGAGCAACGCGGCCGTCATGACCTTCAAGCACGCCGCACCCGTCGAGGACGTGCTGTCTCTGCCCTCGGGCACCACCGTCATGGCCGCGGCCGGGAGCACGGTCAGCGTGCTGGACCTGGTGGCCGCCCGCCCGCTGCACAGCATCACCAACCACCAGAAGACGGTGACGTCGCTGAGCCTCGCGTCCGGCGGCCGGCGGCTGGTCACGGGCGGCCTGGAGGGCCACGTCAAGGTGTTCGAGACGACGGGCTGGAACGTAGTGTCGAGCTCCAAGTACCAGTCCCCCGTGCTGTCGGTGGCCGTCATGCCCGCCACCGACGCCGAAGGCGCCGACGACCGCCACCTGGCCGTGGGCATGCAGTCGGGCGTCCTGAGCGTCAAGACGCGCCAGACGGGCGCCGAGGCCGTGCGCAGCCGCGAGCGCGAGCGCGAGATGGCCGCCCTCGTCGCGGGCACCATCGACGCCCACGACGCCAAGAAGGCCAAGCGCAAGAGACGCGTCGCCGCCGACCAGAAGCTCGAGCTGGTCGGCGAGGGCGCCGACGTCGTCATCGCCAACGAGGGCCGCCCCTCCCGCAAGAAGGAGCGCGACTGGCAGAGGGACCTCCGCCACGGCCGCTACGCCGCCGCCCTCGACCGCGTCCTCGACCGCCACGCACCCGACTACTCGCCCCTCAACGTCCTGACCCTCCTACTCGCCCTGCGCCACCGCTCCGCCCTGGCCGACGCCCTCCAGTCCCGCGACGAGCTATCAGTCCAGCCCATCCTCAAGTGGGTCGGCGCCCACATCTCGGACCCGCGCTATGTGAGCGTCTGCGTCGAGGCCGGCCTCCACCTCCTGGACCTATACGCCGAGTACTCGGCTGCCTCCGCCGAGCTGCACGACGCCTTCAGGACCCTCCATCGCAGGGTCAAGGTCGAGGTCGAGACGGCCCAGGTTGCGTGCCAGACTGGCGGCATGCTGGAGAGTCTGACCGTCGGCACCTTGTAGTCCGTGGTGGGGGGGAGGGGGGTTTCCCTTCCTTTTACTCTTACTTGGTCTTCTCCCGGAACTGATACTATGTGCGGATATAAAATTGGAAGGGGGAGGGAGAAGGGAAAATGGAAAAAAGGGCTCGTCTTTTTGTGTAAAGGACGATATTGGCATTGCGCTGGCGTTATGGAGTGTGTGATTGGAACTGTTGCCCAGGGGCAGGCGGACAATGTGCACAGCCAAGTTTTTGATGGTCGTCTTGGTAAATGTAGATGGTGTATGTATTCAATCTGAATTTAGTTTTTTTCATCTTCTTTTTCTCTCTCATGTACAATCGACCCATGTCTGCGTTTCCTATCTCACTTTTCTCACTTTCTACTTGCCCTCCGGAGGCCCTGCCAGGGAGCCCCTGCCAGGGAGCCCCTTCTGTTCGTCACTCTTCTCTCTTTGTTTTCCCTCGGCATGGCTTGCTCGTCACACCATACATCTACTATCGTTGCCCGTCTCACGAAGTACTCCGTACTCTGCAACACATCTCACTGACTAGGATGTAGAGTAGATACCATGTTCGTCGTGTTTTTGTATTTCAACAGGGATGAACCATAAATATACATACACAGTAAAAAACAAGAAAAGACCTCGAGCAAATCAAAGCAGAGAAAAGAGAAGGAAAAAAAATAAAACAGAGAAGAACCCCTCCAGAAAAACGAGAAGATACGTATATTTTCTTTTTTTCTCTTACCCAGCTCGCCGATGAATGCAAAGATACATAGAAAAGTTCCTGAGGATGGAAGATGATGACAGAAAAAAGAAGACAAAAAATATGTTTTTTCCCAGGTGAAAAAAAAAAAAGTTGGCTGACAATGGTATATCCTCCAAGACGTGTGCTGTAGTTTCCATGTCGGGGGTAGGGGGGGGAGGAGGGGAGGTGGACATGAGGAAAGCAGCAGGAGGAGATATTAGGAAACGAGGAAGAGAAAGAAAAGAGGTTGCCACCCTGTCGGATCTGTGATTTTTGCTCTCTCTTCTCCATTTTCAGACAAGTTTAATGCCACGATGAAATGCTCGCCATGATTCAATCGACCAAGGAAAAGGAAAACCAAGACAAAAAAGTGTTATGAGCAAATAAGAGGTACGTCGCATATAGCAATCAAGGCATCACTGCGAGAAACTCATGTGTCCATGGCTCGTCGGTGTCCCTAAATCAGTATTAACACCGTGCTGCTGGTGATGTTGCTGCTGCTGCTGCTGCTGCTGCTGTAGGTGTTGCTGCTGCTGTTGCTGGTGGTGGTGTTGCTGTTGCTGCTGCTGCTGCTGCTGCTGTTGATGATGTTGCTGTTGCTGTTGATGATGCTGTTGAGCCATGGCAGACATCGGAGTCTGCATATTGCTAGCGTGGCTGGAGAAGCTCGATGTCGTACGCGGGTCCGGTACGAGGAAGAGGTCATGCTGGAGCCCTTCGAGGATGTGCATGTCCACTCGCAGCGCACTCGTGGCCGTAGCCGACTGCTGGAAGAACTGGATGGTTCGGTGGAAGAGCATCTTGAGGAGCTCCTCAGGCACGAAGTCGCGGAGCACGGGGTCCCGAAATGCGGCAGACAGGACGAGCAGATTGCCCCATTGGCTGTTTGGCAGTTAGCACTCCATCTCCGTTTTCGTGTTCAAGCAGGCTGTCCCTCCGGGGAGCCCTGCCGGTGGCCCTCCTCGCTACGCTCGCCGCGCACGCACAGACAGCGCTCGTACCGCACACATATGATACGCAGCAGATGCACACACGAGCAGCGCCCTCATCGCATATGATACACGGCAAGTGCGAGCGCAGCGAGGAGGGCCCCCGGCAGGGCGCCCAGAGGGCAAGGTAGAGAGGAAAGCAGGAGGGGAACTCACGCATGGGCCGTCCCAAAGACGTTGGTGATGATGGGCCTGTCCTCGCCGAGGTTGTGAAAGGCGCGGGTGCTCTCGACCAGGGCCTTGATGCCCTTCCTGGCCAGCTCGACCACGCCCGGGTCGATGTCGCTGACTGACTTGGCGCCGGGCTGGATCGAGGGCCTGATGATGCCGTCGCGGAACTCGGACCAGGTGGGCGGGTTGGGGCTGGAGGGGTGCTGGTGCAGGGCGTGGGTGAACTGCAGGATCTGGCGGATGAAGGGGCGGTACGTGATGACCTGGGCGCCCCAGTACTTGGCGCGCAGGCGCGCCGCCAGGATGTCGTTCGCGGGCGGGTCGTCCTCCCTGAAGGCGAAGCTAGGCGCCACCCAGTGCATGCCCGACACGGCGTCCGCAACCAGCTCCACGTTCTGGAACTTGTCCTGTCCCGCTCCAGCCTTGCTCGGGTCCTCGGGGGAGTAGAACATCCGGTGGATGCTGTTCAGGTGCGTGCGCAGGTACAGCTGGCCCGGGTAGCTGTCCAGCACCCGCTGCGGGAAGCCTTCCAGCAGGCTCATGTTCGGGTGCGGCATGTCGTCCTCGTACGACAGGATGCCCGACGGCGGCAGCGGCAGCTCCGCGATCAAGTCACTACTCCTCGTCAGTCCTCTTCTTTATTTCTTCTCTCCATTTTTCCTCCGGGGGGCCCTGCCGGGGAGCCCTGCCGAGGGCCCTCCTCGCTACGCTCGCCGTGCACACACGAG